GCCTTTGTGATAACTTGATTTCGGACGAATAATTAAAACCGTTTCGTGAGAACGTCTCCGGGATATTTTTAAGCTTTTGTTCCTGAATCCTGACCCGATCAGGCATTTCCCAAACTATAAAGTCGATAAAATAAACTAATATTTGTACTGATAACACTGAGACAGTTCCAGATTTCTGATTGTTTTAGAGCTTTTGTGATAAACGTTTTTTTTTTCTCCAAACCCAAAGCTCTTTGTTCTCCTTCAAGCCCATTAAGACAAAAAGGTAGATCAATAAATCAATAGATATTTCAGTCCTTTTCCCCCTTTTTTCCATTTTCTACACCGCTGCCAATCAGGGTGAGAGAGCCACACGGGAAGTATTGATTATTCTGCCGGAGATGTCAAGCACCAGGCAGAAAATGGATGGAGGCAGAATAAATTGAGGGTTTGATTAGAAGAATTATGGTCAAACAATCAAACGATGCCCAACATCCCTCTGTCCATCCTCTGGATTATTATTATTATTCCCATTTCTGATGAGAGTTGTTAGTTTTGGAAGTTAAAGTGAATGCAAACAAAAGGCTGTATTAAGGTTTTAAATGTCTTTTGTGAGTTTATAAAGCAGAAGACAGAAGTTTGCCTTTAAAACCAGCTTCATTTACTGAGTTTTGGTGGTAAAAATAAGAATTCCTGCCTGTAAATCCCTTTATGAGCCTGGAAAATAATCTGTTTAAGCTTTTCTGTGTCACCAGAGTCCCGATTTAAAAGGTTTAACACAGAAGAGACACAGCTGTAATGATGTATTCAAACTGGACGTCACACATCTGGGACATTGAGCCGGTTTAGGGGAATCAAACGTCCTATTTGGTCCAGACAGGTCCACTTTTTATATCATGTAAAATTATAAATGTATGAAAAAATTTTCTCTGTTTTTCATGGGACTAGAATCGTATGTTAAATCGACTGGAGATTTGCACAGAATACTACAGTACACACACAGACATACACACACACACACACACACATAGACACACACACACACTAAGGCACAAACACACACAGACACACAGAGACAAACACACACACACACACACAGACTAAGGCACAAACACACACAGACACACACAGAGACAGAGACACACACACACACACACACACACATATACACACACACACAGACACACACACAGAGACACACACACAGAGACACACACACACACACACACAGAGACAAACACATACACACAGACACACACAGACACACACACACTGGGGCAAAAACACACACAGAGACACACACACAGACACACACATACACACAGACAGACACACACACACTAAGGCAAAAACACACACAGAGACACACACAGAGACACATACACACACACACACGAAGACACACACACTAAGGCACAGACACACACAGAGACACACACAGGGACAAAACACATTTTGGTTTGTTGAGTTTGTATCATTGTGAGACTGTTTAATTTATCACATTGAGAGGGTGTTAAGAGGTATTTAGTTGAAGCTGTATTTTCTACAACAGAAGAGGTCGTATTTAGAACATTATTTGATTTATTTCTGTATTCTAAAGGAGGGTTTTCATTTTGTTTCTGGTTGTTCCAGATTGTGTTTTACTACCAAAGCTATTTTTGTCCCATTCAGGGATAAAAAAGCCTGTTCATGAACATCTGAGGAGCCTATCTGAACCCTTATAGAGGCTAAGTTCCTCCTGTTTGGAGATCTGAACACGGCTAAGCTAGCTGCTAACGGGTGGAGGACCCCACCTTGATGGATGAATGGTGGATAGATGGATGGATGGATGGATGGGTTTGTAGATAGATAAATGGATGGATAGATGGATGGATGGATGGATGGATGGATAGTTAGACAGATAGATGGATGGATGGGTTTATAGATAGATAAATGGATGGATGAATGGTGGATGGATGGATGGATGGATGGATGGATGGATGGATGGTTAGACAGATAGATGGATGGATGGGTTTATAGATAGATAAATGGATGGATGGATGGATGGTTAGACAGATAGATAGATGGATGGATGGAT